CCCCCTTAAAAAAAAACCTATCAGTACTAATATTATAGTTATTTTTTCTTTTTAGTTTAGTCTTTTACTTTTTGGTTTTTTGAAGTCGGTTTTTTAAACGCAGTTTTTATTTTGTTATTTTCCTTTTTCATTTCTTGTTAAATACTTATATTCTGATGCTAGTATTTTATTAATTGATAACGTAAGTCGTATGAAAGGTAATTGAGTAACCTTTAAAATTGAATATTTTTGTTATAAAAAGAATATTTTTAAAGTTATAGAGGGTTCGACAAAATGAAATGAAACGATTTTTTGTGTAAGTATTTCTACGGCACTAAAACCGCAAATTGTTTGTATTTGCGTAAAAATTATAAACCCTAGCCTTTCGTGTGGGCTATCATATTGATCATTCGTCACATACATAGTACGTGTACAAAAATACTTTAGGTACATTCACTCTGGGATTCACCTACTATAGACGAGGAAACAAACAGTGTCAGTTATATTGTTAATTTCTCCTTTTTACCTAATTAACTATAAACATTCTCACGAATGTGTTTTTCTTTAATTTTTTCACACATCAATCTATTCAAAACCAGTTTATCCTGGTGTCGCGTCGCATCATCTTTTCGCACATTTAACGTTCAGTTTATACTGGTTATGTAAAGCTCGATGTGTAGCCGTGTGTACATCATGTAAGACTGATGACTGTCGGCTACTACGCTATGACTAGGTTCGAAAGAACATAAATGGCTTAACTTCTTAATGCTTCATTGGCCGAGTGGTCGCAAATGCGACTGCCGGGCAAAGGGTCTCGGGTTCGATTCCCGGGTCGGACAAAGTATTACTGGGTTTTTCAAAGAAAATTCACGGTAGTAGCACGGAGTTTGGAATTGTGCCCGGTATGTGGCAATAGGCTCACCTCACCCCCTATTACATGGGACTCATAACATAAATAGTGAAAAGTGGGTGTTGCATTGTATAGTGGCATAATGTACACCTCTGCCTACCCCTTCGAGGATAAAAGGCGTGATGTTATGTTATGTTCTTAATGCCCGATTATGAAAAATCCACAACAATTGTTCATAAAACGTAGTCTTATCTGAACATCTATAATGGAGTAAATGTAGAGCGGTCACTGGTGACCGCTGGGCAGCAAATCAGTGGTAATACCACCTTTCGATAATAAAAGAAAAAACACAATTTCAGCCAATCCCTCTTAACCATTTTTTTTTTATTTTGGGCAAATCATCCAGTTACTTCTCCCACCTTGGGTAAGGTGAGAGGGCATACTCCTGCTTTCAGCCAGTACCCTGAACGTAAGCTAGGTTATCCACAGCTTTATTTAGGATTCAGAAACAGTGCCATCAAATGACCTTCAAACCTTCAAGAAAATAGCGAGGCATTTTTAAAGGTTGCGGTTTCCATGACTGGACTGTCTGGACTGTGGAGCAATGAGGTTTAAACTGTCAAACACCAAGCGGTCACCGGTGACCGCGACCTATTGTTCTTTAATTGTGTCTATAAAACCGGTACTCGACGAGTTAAGGTCGAATTCCCGACTCTGGCAACGCAAACTGACATCATCATCAGTAACATATAAGTGGCCACTAGGTACTAACCAAAGGCCTCTTTGTCATATGGAGAAGGACTTTTTCTCCGTGATGTACGGGGTTTTTATTATACAACGCTTTATAAGTACTTTAATACTCTTACAAAGTCAAGGTTAAAATGCTAAATGAAATTGAGGAAACCTATGTCAAATACTCTCTTCATTATTGAATCATACAAGTTGTAAATCCCAAGACGTACCAATTATTATTTTATTACTAAGAACAATTATTACAAAACTGGTTATACAGGGCCGTATTATACCTAAAACTATGCAAGTAAATAGGGCGCCAGATTAAAGAGGGCGCCACGAGTAATGCATCATAACGAGATATTGTTAATTAATTCCAAGACGTACCAATTATTATTTTATTAGTAAGAACAATTACAAAACTGGTTTTACAGGACCGTATTATCCCTAAAACTATGCTAATGACTAGGGCGCCAGGTTACAGAGGGGCGCCAGGAGTAATTCATCATAACAATAAATTGTTAATCCCAAGAAATACTAATAATCATTTTATTACTCAAAACAATTACAAAACTGGTTATACAAGGCCGTATTATCCCTAAAACTACACTAGTGGCTAGGACGCCAGGTTACAGAGGGGCGCCAGGAGTCGCACGTGCCCGGCTGTCCAGAGTGACGGCGGCGCCAAAAACAAATCAAGGGCGCCTATGAGGTGCCTGCCTAGGCCGCTGTTTAGGTATTTTCCACCTCTTATTTATGTTATGAGTCCCATGTAATAAAGGGTGAGCCTATATTAAAATAAAAATTGGTCATCATATTTGGCCAAACCTCGCGGATGAAGGATAAGTCTCAAATCAGTGAACTGTCGTGAGTTGATGATGATACATATCAAGCGCAGTTGCTATGGCCAACCGGCTCGTGTGCAACGAGAACAATGTCGCGGGTTTGATTCACGCACTGAACAATTCTTGTGTGATCCGCAAACTGTAGTTCTAGGCCTTTTTTTAAGAGGGGAAAATCATCGAATGACTGCTCCCGCCTGGGTGAGGCGGGAGGGAGTGTCAGACTCTTACTGACTAAAAACCACCCCGTTCCTTCTCCTAGACGTCGAGCCGGAGCCCCGGTAACCCGTTAGGTTCTCCGCGACTCCAAATCGGCATCGGCCCTGTTGTCCCCATCTGTAGTGGTCTGATGGCTCTTTATAATGTGCACCTCTGTCTACCCCTTCGGGGATAAAAGGCGTGATGATATTTATTTATTTTCTTTTTGACCTTAATAAATATAGTTAAGCACGTACTAACAATTCTGCCGGTACCTCAGTAAAGTCCCTGTTCTTGTAGGTATTTATGACAGGTTACCTACGTGCACTGCACTTTGTTGTACATCGTCACAACGTAGGATAGTTCAGAAGGTCCATTCTTTATGATTTTACATTTTTACTTAGATCGATGTATTGTTTGTTTAAAAGAAAACGAGATTCTGACCTCTTTCTCATTCTTTTTACTGACGTTAGGGTGGACATTAGGTTATACAGGAATATTATAACCATAGACATAGGTTGGTGGTAAGTATTTGGGGTCAGAGGCGCGCAAAATGGTGCCCCCAGTGACCTCAGGGAAGATGGTGGCGCATTGGTTGCGTACCGCCGTGCACAACGAGGCTTAAAGGAGACACATGTCTCGCGAAATGTCTAGAGTAACGAATGGAGTTTCTTGCTCGTTCTTCACTATTCGAATCTACATTTTGGAATGAGCACCTAGCTTTACCTACCTTCACTGACGGACTAACTGATAGACTATTATTTATTTTGTATTTGTTGGCGTTTCAAAAGTGCCAAATTATGGTTATTTGAAATAAATGCTTTGACTTTGACTTTGGAGACTCCAGAGCACCTAGGTTATTTTGTAACTCTCAATTCGAACATTTCTATTGAGCTCGATCGCATTCTCACTCGTCATTAGTCCAGATTATTCTCAAAACCAAGTATATACCTATAGCCGACTGCAATTGAGCTCACTTTGAGAGTTCGACATCTTACAGAATGGCCTTTTTTTGAGGGGGGAAAATCATCTAGTGTCTACTCCTGGCTTGAGTTAGGCGAGAGGGAATGTTAAACTCTTACTGACTAAAAACCACCCCGTTCCTACTCCTGCTCTTCGAGTCGGAGTCCCGGCAACCCGTTAAGCTATCCGCGGCTCCGTATCGGGCATCAGCCCTACTGGGCCCCATTTAATCTTACAAAATAGCCTAGCAAGTGGCATATTAGTTCCCGGTGCCCCCTTTAAGTGATATTGGTAGCCACTAGTCTCTAGGGAGATTTTAGTGAGATAAAAATTCCACCGTCCCATTTTTTTTTCTGCCTAAAGAAGCTAGGCGCCTTTTGAAGGTTTCCCCATCATCAAAAAAGGTAGGTAAGTATTGTACATAACAATATCTACGAAATGTTGGTACCTATTTATTCAAGTGGATAGTAAATAGCTAAGTGACGAACGAAATTAAAGTGCCTAGATGTTAAATACTTAATTAATTATCTATTCGGAGAATATAATGCAAGTGTTACGTAATTTATGTCAAGTACAAGTCATCTGGACATATACCTACTTAGGTTTTGTAGATAAAACTCTAAATCAAAATAATTACAGAGCATATTTTTTTTTAATCTAAATTGTGTGTTATACATTTTTAGAAGTCTTTTTAGTAATTTAATTTGTAATCAAGACAATTATTTAATAGATTTTTGTTCAACTCAGTCGTTGAGCCTAAACCCTTTTGTTTACTTATGATATTCAACTAACAAGACAATTTTAAAAAGTTATTATTTTTCCTCATACTATCGTGTAACTCATCGTGCCAAGTCATAAGTGGAACTTCTGCCATCAATGCTTTTCCTTAAAAAAACTGAATCATTTCTCTGATCGTATATAAGCTGTGGTAGCAGACGCCATTGTTAGTGTTCCCGCCATCTCACAGCGAAAGAGGTGTGTACCAAAAAGTTTTGTTTATTATTTAAACATGAGCATAAATAATAATATTTTTTTACGTAATTTTTACACAAAATATATTTTTGAATAAAATAAGTATCACGTTTTAATAGATCTATTAACGTTAATTTCATCTGTACTTTAATCCTTTCTCATATAAACCGAAACTAGAATTAAAATATTTTTAAATTCTGAACAGTCATCTTTACTTTAGTGTTGCATTTTACTTTCCATCTTACTCATCAATGCAAACTTCGGTAGAAATGAAATAATTGAATTGAAATTCATTCCAGTTGTTTCAGTCTAGTCGTACCTACATACCCACATACCCAATATTATTTTTCAGGATAAAATCTTTTAATTAAAGTTAAACTTTGCATATACTGTGAGTCTAATAGAATTTTTTCTTACTGCACTTATTTACCGACTTCGTTTTTAATATATTTATTTTTCAGAACATGGCAATCATGAAGAGCATAGTTTTGGCCGCGTGCATAGTTCTATGTAAGTATATGTGTATTTTTTATACCGTCACGCCTTATATCACCGAAAGGGTTGGTAGAGGTGCTCATTTTCATAAATTACGTTAAAAGTCCCTTAAAGTAACAATAAAAATATTGTTTTATCTGTTTCCAGATTATTGTGTTTATTATTATTGTTATATTATTTTTATTTTAAGTTGTATGGTATTGGTGTTTGTTTAATGTGTATTCTATGCGTCTAACTTTAATTAATATTTTGTAGTGTTACCATATTTTCTCATTTACTTACTTTATTATTTAGGTTTTTTAACTTAGTTGTCAATTTTTATAATCTTGGTAATTTAATTTGATTAATATAATTGGTGTAGGTATACCGTTTTAACAATAAATAATCAAATAATAGAGAGTCGAACTTGCTGAAATATCAATTTGCTATTATAGACATTTTTCAAAAAAAATTATAGACCAGAGACAGTTAAAAATGTATTAATTATTTGCAATTGCAACTCTATGTTGGAAATCCGTACAAAAATTATTATCTTTTTTAAAAAGGCTTAAAATTAAAAAAGGTTCAACATCAGCTGATCCGTCTGCTCGTTTGCCTCGTATTCCATATAAAAAAAAAACAAACATTTTTTTGCCCTTTACAGGCACGGCCCAGCCCATAGAGAAGTCGGAAGCGAAGCTCCCGGTACTCAAGGCGCAACCCGCTGAAGTTCTATTCAAAGCCGACAACTACTCCACCGTGCTCCTGGAGTGCACTACTGAAGGAAAGGAGAAAGATGTGAAGTGAGTAAACATACATAAGTATTATTTTACACATCAACACTCTATGATGGCGTCCCACATCAGTAAAATGTATGGGACCCACTTTTAGTATTATGACAAGAATATTGATATTGCCTATGGTCGCCATTGACCGTCTATGGTTTTATGAGTAGGTAACTCTGCCTACATTATGCCGTTACACTTTTTTAATGGACAAGTCGATTAGCCATTACATATAACACGAGTTTTATTAAAAGTTTGCCTATAAATTACTCGGCGCACAACGCCAAAACTCCAACAGCCCCTGAAATTCCATTGCCGCATTATGGGCCTATATAGAAGTTCACATACACATACCTACACATGAAACCCAGACTCGAAACAATAATTTGTGGAAGTGTTCCTCAAACAGGGTAGTTAGATTTTTTTATAGCATAAGCCGGTAAACGAGCAGATGAATCACCTGATGGTAAGCAATCGGCGTCGCCCATGGACACCTGGAATACCAGAGGCGTTACAAGTGCGTTACCGGCCTTTTGGGGATTAGGAGTTTGATGATCGTTGGGGATTCAGGGATTGGGGAGATTGGGGAAGGGGAGGATAATTGGGCCTCCGGTAACCTCACTCACACGACGAAATACAACGCAAGCGTTGTTTCACGTCGGTTTTCTGTGTGGCCGTGGTATCACTCCGGTCGAGCCGGCCCATTCGTGCCGAAGCATGGCTCTTCCACACGTAGATGACTAATTTTTATTTTAGTGTCCGCATGAAACAACTGTTATAGGTACTTATTTGCCCTAAACGAAGATAATGACGAATCTTTTGAAACAAAGTCAATGTCAAAGCATTTATTTCAACTAAACCTTAATTAAGCACTTTTGAAACGTCAAAAATTGAATTGTCCGTCCGTCTGTTTGTCAGTGAAGCTAGGCGCTCGTTCCAAAGTGTAATTTCGAATGGAGAAGAACGAGCAAGAAACTCCATCCTTAGTCTTTTAAAAATTTTTTTTTACGGTCTGCACAGTTGGCGCGGTGGGTGGGCTAGGTGCAACGTGTTTCGGGTTCGATTCCCGCACGGAACAACTCTTTGTCTAATCCACAGATTGTTGTTTCGGGTCTGGGTGTCATGTGTGGCAATGTTTTACAAAAAGAGAAAAGAAAAAAATATATCACTGATACATTATCTGATCTTTACCTAATGTATGTGATATGTGAGAAGGATGTAACGACAATACAACGTCAAAATTTAACGGGACTCCGGAATAAAAAGCTATGAATGATTGTTTTAAACATGGTGCCCATAGAATGTACCTACAAAGATTTGTAGGCAACTCATGACACCGGAAAAAATCCTTATTAATATGTAGGATGTATGTCAAGCAATTTTCTTCTTAAAAGACATAGGTACCTAGGTATTCATTGTTATATTGTACGCACGACTGTAATAGTAGGTAAAAGCTGGAAGCCCTATTCATACAAGGAAATTGCATAGCTTATCCTTATAAATAAATAAATAAAATGTCTTATGTATAACCGCAATTACTTATAGATACAATCATTCACATTGAGGAAAACCGAACAAACTTACTTATTTACAAAACAATACGGATACCTATTTAATATTCATTCACAAACTACAGCATACGTCATTTCAGTGTGTTAATCCCCGTCGGAAATGACAGTGTTGTCCTTGAAGTTTTTTTTTTAAATCTTTATTTATTAAAAAGGGCTTTTTTCCTAAGCCTTTTTTCCTTTTATTAAAAAATAAAGCAGCTAAACCGTTTAAAGGTTTAACTAGCGCTTAAGAGGTTACCGGGGCTCCGGCTCGACGTGCAGGAGAAGGAACGGGGTGGTTTTTAGTCAGTAAGAGACCGCCTCCCGCCTCACCCATGCGCATCTCCGGCTACCGTAAGCGCGGGCCTGCGGACGGCGAGCATAGGTGGCTTGCCGGCCGACCAGAACCAGACCCGAGCGTACGCGCGCCCCTCAAAGAGCCATCAGACCACCACGGATGGGGCCCATTATTGATGCCGATTCGGAGGCGCCGAGAACGGGTTACCGGGGCTCCGGCTCAAAGCGCAGGAGAAGTAACGGGGTGGTTTTTAGTCACTAAGAGTCTGACACTCCCTCCCGCCTCACCCATGCGGGAGCAGTTATTCGATGTTTTTCCCCCCTTAAAAAAAGCTTAAACATAAAATAATTAAATGATACAATTTTCTATCCTCAGATGACAATGGTGTCATATCCAACCAACTCTTTTCCAGGTACTCATGGCTAAAGAACGGCAAACCTTTCGACTGGGAGAAAGCTGGACACATCGCCCAACGACCAGGTGAAGGTAGCATTATGTTCTTCAATCCCAAACCGGAAGACGAAGGCAAATACCAATGCCTGGTCGAAACACCCGCTGGCACCGCTAGTACACGCCAGATCCAACTGAAACGCGCTTTTATCAATGCTCCACAAGTAAAAACCCAGGAACATACCCCAGTTGAAGGGAAACCATTCAAATTGGAGTGCCCTATACCAGAATCTTACCCAAAACCGAAGATAATCTGGAAGACGCAGCTTCGCTCAGACCCAAGCATCGTGGAAGAGTTTTTGAGCCGCAGAATTACCTTATCTCCTGATGGCACCCTATGGTTTTCGAACGTAACCGAATCTGATGTCAGTCCCAGCTTCAAATATGTCTGCTTCGCCCAAACTCCAGCTTCCGGCCAAGATGTTGTGTTGGCTGAGCATTATTTGAAGTCCTTGGTACAAGATAAGGGACCTAAGGATGGAGAGTTGACCCCTCAGTACGTTAGCAATGATATGGTAGCTAAGACTGGTGATGTCACTATGTTCTACTGCATCTATGGTGGCACGTGAGTATCTTTTTTAATTTTTGTTTCTCAACGAAGGCAGAAGTGCACAATGCCAAAACGTAATAACCACCTATAAGCCAGTTGTTAGTAAGTACATGTAAAGCGATTTTATTACAAGGTTATATTTCCCATTGACTCTGTGTCTCCCTGTCTAAAATAGAAAACTCCTTAACTTAGCCAGGTCATGAAAGAAATTATAGAATTTCCAAGACAATTAATACTTTGGCACTTGTTTGTTTAGTCAACAAACTAAAACTCTTATATTTTAGGGGCCAAAAATAAAATACATTCCTTAAGTATTATGACAAGTCTTCAACGTCGTCGTTTATTAAACTTACTATAATGTTCAGTATAACAATCAGAAGAACTGTAAGTGTAAGAGTTACACATACGTTTAGAACATGCACAACAACCGAGTGAATACAGGAAGATACAAATAAATTGATAGAGTCTATGACAAGTCCCATCATTGGCTGTATGAAGTATCGTCTTAGTCTATCCGGAAATCCCGTTTTTGTTTATGGCAATATTGAATTTGCTTTTGGCGCAAAGATTGAAAACATTTTTCATTCCGTTTATAGCGGTTATTGCTAAAAATAAGGAGAAAAAAATATTAAAATATTAAATATATCTCTATCAAAAGCCATGTCGATTGAGCACTGAGCCTGAAAATTATAATATATTACCTCATTCTCGAAGACTTTTCAATCATTATCGGATTCTGGATTCGAGTCCGCTACCAATTGCTCGGTAGTCCACTTAACCAATGATTATTTTTACGACATTTTCATACCACTTCATTCCGAGTAGGTATGGCGATAAAATTTGTTATGTCAATTAATATTCCGGCACTTAAGTGTTAATAGATAAATTCATAGTTTGTTTTTATTATCCTTTTAATGGCTAAAACACATAAAAATGCTCATTATTTTATGTGAATACCTCGAGTTTTCAATGCTAAAACGTTATTTTTTACGTTGACATCTGTCAATTTTGAACGCCATTGCAATTTTTGTAGATAAAATATTTCAAAAAGATTTTATATTACTCTTTGACTCTACCTACTTACTTTTTAAAACCTCCTTTTTATGCTGTTGTGTTATTTTGTTTATCAAGGACGTCTTAGTCTTTACCAAATACAATAGTCTAAAATTGGTTTAGACTGGTTCCGTGATTCATTACTTCATTACACAAACTTCACTATCATTCATTGATTTTACCATCGAATCATTTTTCTATATAGGCCACCATAAGCATAATCATTATATTCTCTATTACAGTCCATTAGGCTTTGTGACCTGGTACAAAGACGGAAAAGAGATCAACGCCAAGCCAGGAGACAGAGTGACAGACCACAACCGCACCAGTGGTAAGAGGCTGCTCATCAAAGAGACCCTACTGGAAGATCAAGGAGAGTACAAATGCGTTGTCGGTAATGAAGTAGGCAAGAAACAAACTCACACCATGAAGTTGGCTGTAGTCAGTAAGTGTTTACCTTCATTATTTTATACAGCACACGTCCTTGCATGGAACCATGTGAATAATAATGCATTTTCAACTTTACCTGTTTCTAATAAAGCTCTATTGGATTATTCGAATGCAAATGCTTCAGAGGACGTAATTTCTTTCCGAAAAGCCCAAAATTATGTAAAAAATAACGCCAGTTTGGCAAATTATAGCAACAGTTGGTACATTTCGACTGCACGGTTGGTGCGGTGGCTGGGTAACCGGCTGCCGTGCAACGTGCCGCGGGTTCGATTCCCGCACGGGACAACACTTTGTGTAATCCACAAATTGTTGTTTCGGGTCTGGGTGTCATTGTGTATGTGAATTTGTATGTTTGTAAACGCACCCACGACACAGGAGAAAATCCTAGTGTGGGGCAACGTTTTTTTAAGATAAAAAAAAATTAAATTTTAATCACGATTCTATATACTTACAAAATGTGTCAATATTTACAGGTGCCCCAAAACTCTCCAAGTCTGCTGAAAAGCAGATCGACGTGAAAGAAGGCCAAGATGTTTCCATTCCTTGCCAAGTTACCGGATTGCCTGAGCCAAAAGTGTCTTGGACATACAACGCCAAGTCCCTTGGCGAAAGGGCCATTTTCAAAGACGGCGTTTTGACCATCAAAAACGCTAAAAAGGGCGATACTGGCTATTACGGATGCAAGGCCGAAAATGAGCACGGAGATCTGTATGCCGAAACTTTAGTACATGTCGCTTAGACTGCAAAAAAAGGCTAAAAGTATTAGTTTACCTAGTTGTAAGATCAAAGTTATGTGATTCAATTTACTTAATGAAATAATATAAAATTGTAACCATTTTTTATCGTTTTTTATTTCCACTCCAAGAACGTTGATAAAACCACTTATACACATAACCACGTCGCATGAAGCAACTACAGAAAATAATTACAAGCGTAGCATAAAGACTTGGTGTCAAAACCCACAATTTTACTAATGACATTGACTTTGACAATTAATCGAATTTGACATGACAATGACATTCAAATGACAACGCGTATAACCTCAGATTTTGAATAGAAAATTTCAAAACAATAAGAAAATACAATTAAAATCATGTTTTTCTTCTATTTGTTAAGTTTATTGTCGCTAGCCGTGCAGGCTACATTCATAACCTTATCCATTGGTAAGTCCTACTTTTATTTTTAATTGAAAAACGTAATTTAATATATAATTTGCGAAAAATCTTATTGTGTGCGATAATTTTCCGAATACACAGATGTAATTGATTGTTATTTCTGTAACATATACCCTATAAACGTAAACCCTATAATCTACAATTATTTCTGTAAATTCTTTGAAAATAGGACTTAAATCAATAAAGAAAAAATAAAATAAAAAAAACCGCAGAATCATTGGTCATAATGTATTCTGAATTTAAATAAATGTAAAAACCTATTCGAATTCGTTTATCAACGTGCTGCGTAGGTACATGATTAAAGAAACAATTGTTTTCAAATGCTTTACAAGACAATTATTTAGCCAAACAATCTTTGGCCAGAGTCCAATAAAAATATTGGCCTGTAGCAGTAATTAAATAACTATATCTATGTTAATTGCACATTAAAAAGGTACCTATGCAATTAAAAGAAGTTTGATAGTATTTCAACTCTATGGTCACTTATTAAAAAAAAATCTTATAACAACATCTAGTTTTTTTTTTTTTTGATTGTGTAGATATTATAGCCAAGTAACTTGATTAGCTATTGAATTAGGCAAAGGCCTAGCTTGTTAAATTAATGATATTGTAGATAATTCAATCAATAATAGCATAGTATAAAGAACAAAGTAGGTTATCTTCATACAAATGCTCCGCGCGCGGCTTATATGTGTGCGCCATTGTATCTATGCGTCGACGCACGCACACTTTAACAAAATCTCGACCCGTTTCTCAGTGCGCCAGGCAGGGCTAACACTGCACGAGGTTCGCGCGCGCATCAATTTTCGGCACTGTTAAATGAAGTAAAAAATGTCTGATAACCGTAGAAGAACGTATTGCTGTGTGTTTGGGTGTCTTAATAATTAATCGATTCCAGAACTGTCTCTGTTCAGATTACCTATTGAACAGAAAAGGTAAGCTAGTCACTTTTTCTAGCATAATATAATTTGTAGGTACTTGATGATGAGATACCTACTTACTTATTCTTACTCTTATCATTCTTCATAGTTCCTACTCAACCAGAAATGTAATTACCTACTATACTTAAATATTTTAAGAAAATGTGGTATTGTATTGTTTATTTCACAGTTTATCTGATTTGTTAAGAGCGTGGCCGTGTCGCATTTTTCCATATAAATGTATTCCAAAATTTACTTTCTGAATACTATGTATAGAGCTAAAGTTTATTTTAAGAAGTTAATAATCTTTTTATAAGCTTTTTATTTTTACTAAATTTATAAATTGATAAAATATTCAATCATAATATGCTTTTCATTTCATAAATTTAGATCAAGTGCTGCTTGTTCGAAAATATTAACTAAAAGTAAAAGTGACAACCCTGGGGATTAACGCTAGAGTAGGCTAATAACTCGGCGGGCGGCCTTAGATAACCTACTATGTTCTTTATACTATGATAATAGTATGTTAAATCTATACTAATATTATTAAGAGGAAAGATTTGTACCTATTTTTGTATGTTTGTAATGAATAGGCTCAAAAAGTACTGGGCCGATTAAAAAAATTCTTTCACCAATAGAATGCTACATTCTTCCAATTTGACATAAGCTACATTTCATTTTAAAAAAAATTAGGGATCCTTGGTAAAATTTGAACAATGTAACCAAAGGTGTAGAAAAATGAGTCTTAAAATGTCTTTCGTCGAATGCGCTGCCGAAACTATTAGCGATAGAACAAAATAATGTACAACAATATTGAAGAACATCATAATGTCTACAAAAAACTCCGCGGTAGCATATGTCCAACTATTGTAGTAATGTCACTACAACAATCGAAATTTCCAAAAATAAATAATTGTCTACCCCGTGCGAAGCCGGGACGGGCTGCTAGTTAATGATATAATAGAACAAACATAGTAGCTGATAATTTCTTAGAGTGATTCGATTTCTTTTAGTAGTCACAGTTGGGATCGAAACCTGGCAAGTATCAATGTAACTTTTTCCAAATTTTTATATGTACTTTCTAAGAGTAACATATAACATCAAACCGTTTATGTCTGAAGGGGTAGGCAAAGGTGATCATTACGGCACTTAATGTCACTGTACTCACAATGTAACACCCACTTTTCACTATTTATGTTATGAGTTCCATGTAATAGGGGGTGAGCCTATTGCCATATACCGGGCACATTCTCAGACTCCATACTACTACTGAGAATTTTTTTAAATCCCAGTGATACTTTGCTCAACCCGGGTTTCGAACCCAAGACTCCTCACCTGGCATTCGTACTTGCGACCCTTGAAACCCTTGAAAACTGGTCTGTTCTGTTTCCAGCGGCTGGCCTGTACTATTTAGCGGAATTAGTCGAAGAATACACTGTAATGGCCAAATACATTATAACATGGACTGTTATAGTAAGTATCATGAATTTTCTTTATATTTTTAACGTTTTTACCACCTTCATACAAGAAAATACCTTTATTATTTTATTTTTTAACACATTGTCCCACACTACGATTTTACGATCTCCGGCTTGCCGGGCGACCAGAACCGCGCGCCTCAAAGAGCCATCAGACCACCACAGATGGGGCCCAATATGGCTGATGCCGATCCGGAGCCGCGGAGAACCTAACGGGTTCGGCTCCGGCTCAAAGTGCAGGAGAAGGATCGGTGTGGTTTTTAGTCAGTAAGAGTCTGACACTCCCTTCCGCCTCACCTAGGCGGGCGAAGTCATTCGATGATTTTCCCCCCTTACAAGAATTAAATAAAAACACTATGATTTTCTTCTGTGTCGTGTGTGCGTTTACAAACATACAATATCACATACACATGACACCCAGACCCGGAACAACAATCGATAGATCACACAAAGAGTTCTTCCGTGGGTAGATATAGACATACTAAATTAATTATCATGTTTTTCGGCTTACTCACATATTTATTGGACGAGGAACACGGCAGTTGCCATGTCGCTGTTTGCGCAATGCTGCTCATGAATGTCAGCCAAGCATGGCTTGAAACTAGTCGAGTTCCTCGTCAAACAGTTACGTGTGTAAGCCGAAAAACATAATAACCTTATGTGACAGATAGTTTATACAAATTACTACGCGCGTGCCAGAACTGGTGTCGCCAAACTAATACATTTATAATTTACTCATACTACAAAACGGAAGTTACGATTGGTTAGAAAAAAAATGGGCGTAAACGAAATGCAAAAAAAATATCATACGATGCAACTTTAAAATCAATGCACTATAAATCAAAATAAAAAAGTATATTTTGGACTACCAAGTACCGCCATTCGTGGTACTTGGTTTGAACTTTAATGTCGTAAGAATAAAGGTGATATTTGAATGGCTTATCACTGGCTCGAATGCGGGTCTCTACTCAGATAGTGATGTAGCCTAATTCGATAAAAATATTATTGTATTCTATATTCCGTGACTTGCCTGCACGGTGGCCGCGCAACGTGTAGTGCGCTCGATTCCCACACGGAGCATCTGTTTGTGTGATCAACAAATTGTTGTTCCGGGTCTGGGTGTCATGTGTATGTGAACTTGTATGTTTGTAAACGCACCCACGACACAGGAGACAATCATAGTGTTGGGCAAAGTTTATTAAAATAAAAAAATATTTTCTTTTTTTCCAGGGTACAGCCTCGATCCACATAGGGCTGTTAATCTTCGAGGATATTCCTCTATACCTGAACGCTTTAGGTCTAGTTCAGCAGGTGTTCCATATGCTCCTCCTCAAAGACTTCCCCGTGGTTCGGATAACCAGCGTCACGTTTGTTACCGCAGTCCTCACTTTGGTACTACATCATTATTTGGCCTTCAAGTTCTTTGGTACTGTGTTCTATAGTTTTTCAGAGGTATGTATCTTTACTAATATTTATAAATCGGAAAGTGACTTTGTTTGATTGTTCCGCTGTCACGCCGTAACTACTAAACCGATTGCTTTGATTTTTTGCCGACGTAAAGTTAGAAGTCCGTATTAAATAATAGGGTACTTTTTATCCTGGAAAAAATTGATATTCCCGAGGGAAAACAAAAGCATTGTTATAGATGGCGCTGTGTGTATTTTATATGTCACATAGGCTACTTTTTATCCTTTTGTGACGCGAGCGAAGCTGCGGGTAAAAGCTAGTAATTTATACATTCCAGGTGCTATCATACTTCACGCTTTGTCTATGGGTTGTCCCGTTTGCGCTGTTCGTGTCCCTATCTGCCAACGACTACGTCCTACCCACCACTGGGGAGAAACAACCTTTGTTATTAGGTAAGTGGACATTTAAGATATTAATGCCTGGTTTTACATATCACCCCTAAACCATATATCAACTAAGATTTACTTTGCATGAGCATCTAAATCAACGCCTGACCCGTACCAAAGAGCCATCAGACAACCACGGATGGTGCTAATAGGGCTGATGCCGCGGAGAACCTAACAGGTTACCGGGGCTCCGGCTCGAAGTGCAGGAGAAGGAACGGGGTGGTTTTTAGTCAGTAAGAGTCTGACACTCCCTCCCGCCTCACCCAGGCGGGAGCGGTCATTCGATGATTTTCCCCGCATAAAAAAAATCCCCTTCAGAGATTTGCTAGGCACGGGTAACTATGTAATGTCATTTCATCTCGTTTTCAATAAAAAAAAATTTAATTTTTTTTCCAGGTGACAACAACGTTTTGACAGATTATTTGGCGCGAAAATCGAAGAAATATAGTCTATTGTCATTCTTTAGTTTCGCGAAGGACTCCATACTGCCACAGCGTAGCAAGAAGGCGTTTTAATAGAAAAGTAATTATTTATTTTATTATCTATTTATAAATACTTAGCTAAAATACATTAACATAACATCACGCCTTTTATCCCCGAAGGGATAGGCAGAGGTGAACATTACGGCACTTAATGCCACTGTACAATGTAACACCCACTTTTCTCTGTCTCACTAGTAGCACGGAGTCTGGAATTGTACCCGGTATATGGCAATAGGCTCACCCCCTATTACATGGGACTCATAACATAAATAGTGAAAAGTGAGTGTTACATTGTACAGTGGCATTAAGTGCCGTAATATGCACCTCTGCGTACCTCTTCGGGGATTAAAGACGTGATGGTATGTTGTCATTCCTATTATTAAAATTATACAAGGTGTTGTTTTAAAGCCGCGTCATTTTCTAGGAGGTAACTCGACTATCGATTCTGAGTCCGAATCAATAAAAAAATTTGTAGGTAAATTTTTCATTTTTCTGTAAATTACGGAAATCCGTAAGTGCGAACTACACGCCGCCGTCTTGTAACTAGCTTTATAACGCGGCTTAACACACACAAACTCAAACACGTAATTGAAAACTCCAATAAGATACATTGCTGTCGCTTATTCTGAACTTAAACGATTTATTATATCCGTATTTTTAACTATTGGCCCGAAACTTTCTCTTACATTGAACCTTTATGAAGAAGACAGAGGGTCGGCTTGCGAGGGATTTGAAGAAGCAACACAAACACCACTGTGATTTCACTTTTTATTCACTTCCTCTAGATACTTTTCCCCGCTAGGGGCGCTGGTTGTACTCACCAACACTTCGTGGTCATCTCTCCGTCCCCGACTGGGTGCGCGAGGTCGCGCGATCCAGGCCGATGCCTGTCTTGGCGGTATCTTATCACTGCCTGCAGGGGTTGGAGCATTCGGGCCCCTTGCGAAGCCCGATGCAGGGGGGTCTCTACCAACTCGCCTGGGCGAGCGGGAGACTCACGCAGCGCTCGATGCGTCGGTCGGGGGGACCAGGTCTCGCGGGAGCGATCTGACTAATAATTTTTTTTTTTCGCAAAATACGTGCCCCACATTTTATCTCCTGTATCGTGGGTGCGTTTACAAACATACAAGTTCACATACACATGACACACAGACACGGAACAACAATCTGTGGATTACACAAAGTGTTGTGCCGTGCGGGAATCGAACCCGCGACACGTCGCACGGCAGCCGGTTGTCCAGCCACCGCACCAACCGTGCAGTCAAATTATAATTAAATGTTGATCGCGCTATGATCCCGTTACCGCCTCAACACTTTATGACTTCTGTGACATGCCCCCGAGAAATGCCACGGTTTCAAAACTACACCTTGTATACAGTTAGGAGCAAAAGAACGGAGCCTTTTTACTATTTCATTTGTTGATAAATATATTCTGATATAAATATTTTATTAATTGGTAACGTATGTCGCATAAAATGCAATTTAGTTAACGGTAAAATGGGGTGAATAGGAATCGAGAGGTGAGTAGAGACAAAAGAGGGGTGAATAGATATTGGGAAATTCTTCATAGTATCGATTCACCGCTCTTCTGTCTCTATTCACCTCTCGATCCCTATTCACCCCATTTTACCGCCTTTAAAATGAGAACATTTTGTTTTAAAATGATTTTTTTTTTGATAGTTAATAGAGCGTTTGATAGAATTATTCTTACGTGTGTAAGAGCTATGCTTCGGTGCGAATGGGCCGGCTCCACTGGAGTGATACCACGGCCGAACAGAAAACACACGTGAAATAACGCTTGCGTTGTGTTTCGTCGTGTGAGTTAGGTTACCGGACGCCCAATTACCCCTCTGCCCAGTCTCCCCTATCCCCGAATCTTCCACAATCCTCAAGTTCCCCAAAAGGCCGGTAACGTACTTATAACTAACGCCTTCCATGTATCCATGGACACACTCATCTAACGCCTCTAGTGTTCCAGGTGTCCATGGGCGGCGCTGAATGCTTACCATCAGGTGATCCGTCTGCTCGTTTACCGGCTTATGCCATAAAAAAAACGCTAGTGGCGTCGTTCCTTTGCTCCTAAGTGTACTATGTAAAATTGTAAAATTACTTTTTTTTATTTAAGCCAATTCCAGATTTTTTTAAAAAGTAACGATAGAGTTACTATCCTTTTTCATAGTCCCTGACATTTACTTACCCCTTCTAAGTTGTAGATAGCGTGATGCTATGTCAAAGTAAAATACGTAATTTATTAATAGTTAAGTAATTATTTATTTATTTTAATTTTTTTGTAAATGATTTTCTATGATCGGTATATGGCAATAGGCTCACCCCCTATTAACTACTCACTCATGGACTCATGACATAAATAGTGAAAAGTTGGTCTCAAACATCACGCTATATTATCCCCGAAGGGGTAGGCAAAGGACATTACGGCACTTAATGCGACTATACAATGTAACACCCACTTTTCACTATTTATGTTATGAGGTTCGGGCAAATTATTACTGGAATTAAAAAAAAATCTCAGTAGTAGCACGGAATTTGGAATTGTGCCCGGTATATGGCAATAGACTCATAACATAAATAGTGAAATGTGGGTGTTTACATTGCACAGTGGCATAATGTACACCTCTGCCTACCCCTTCGGGGATAAAAGGCGTGATGTTATGTTATGTTATGGTTAGAGAAAAGAGGCTAACATATGACCTCCACTGGAGAATGAAAGTTGTGATTGTATATTATCATATAGGTAATGCGTTTTATACACTTATTCCTAATATAATATTAAAATAGCTAATTTGAGCGATGTGCGATTAGCTAAATTATTTAGTATGTAGGTAAGAAAACAAAGATTGATTCAGTACAGAGACAGTAGCCATTGTTACACTAAATTGTACGCTTTGTAACGAAGCCATATCTTTTGTAACCATTGGTCGGCTCTAGACAACCAATGGCTACTGTCTCTGTACTGAAGCAATCTTTGTTTTCTTCAAGAAGAATCAATCTTTGTTGTCTATGCCTGCATACTAAATGATTTGGCTTAATGTAGGAATATTTTTTACTCAATTATATTATAACGGCTGAACGGATTTGTATGATATTTGATACAGAGTTAGATATAGTGTGGAATAACAGATAGGCGTTTTTTCTGATGTTTCGTTTCCATAGAATAATTTTCGTTTAGTACGTGAGCCAAGGCGCTGGCAAAAGCTAATATTGTGTGATGTAATTTTAAAGATCTTCAAGTTTAACTAAAAATCGCGGGTTACTCACGTGAATATAGTGAGAAAAACTCTACTATTTTCGAACCACAGAGGGGTTCTCTCCCGTCCTACTGCTACTTACTACTATTCGCCCCGCTGGTTGCGCGTCAACATCGTCCAGCGCGCCGCCGCCGGAGTTGGAAACAAACGCTCGCAGTATCCGGCAGAGGGCGCGTTGGGTTCGCAACGCAATTAGCAACATCGATGCGAGCGCCAACGCTAGCTAGTCGGCTCATAGGCGCGCACGCTGTCGCGGAGAACCTAACGGGTAACCGGGGCTCCGGCTCGACGTGCAGGAGAAGGAACGGGGTGGTTTTTAGTCAGTAAGAGTCTGACACTCCCTCCCGCCTCACCCAGGCGGGAGAAACCATTCGATGATTTTCCCCCTTAAAAAAAAATAAAAAAAAACGCGCACGCTGCTCATGAGGAAGAACCCATGTGTGGTTCGAAACTAGTAGAGCTTTTCTCACTATATTCACGTGAGTAACCCACGATTTTTAGTTGATTTAGTATGTCTCACGATAGTTATTATAAAAATATCTTCAAATTTTATGTGTCCATTTGTTAGGATTAATTCTCGTTGATAAAAATTTTAAATTGTTACTTAGACACCATTATTTTGACGTCCTTTTTTGTTAGTGAGATTTTTAAATTGTAAGTGCTATGTTCAAATAGTCAAATAAATGCTACTGCCAAACGAAGGACCGATTTTTCCAATGCCAGATGAATTTTAACTGAGAAATAATTTTGAATATTTGACAATACTAAAACTTGTTAAGAATTAACTGAAGATTAAAAAATCAGTCCTTATAGACTCATGTTTACTTCCCGAGCGGGTCTACAGAGTGCCAAGCACGAATAACTATTGAATAACCTGGGTGTCTTCAAGGCACTAATGAATAGGTAGCTTATGTCAAAGTAAAAGTCATTATCATTTATTCCAATTAGACAAGAAAGGTACTTTTGAACGTCAACAAAAAATTAAAAGTGAAGCTATTTGCTCATTCCAAGGTGTAGATTACTATAGAGAAGAACGAGCAAGAAACTCCATAGGTTACCTACTCTTTTTCAATCAGGTTCACAATACAATTCTCTAGTTAGGTACATAAATTTGTTGGTTGGATTGTGCGAGGACAATGTCACACTAAAATTCAGTCAACGAGATCGAAAAACAACATAATCTCAAGGACAATAAATAATACACTCAATATGGGTCGACGTGCTCCATCGTAGACTGTATCATCGCTTAACACCAGGCGAGATAGTGGTCAAATGTCGCCCCATCAAATATTAAAAAAAGAATTCGTAACCAGTATCGAATGCGTTCGGCACTCGGATTGGTTGGTTCACTGGAGCTGGCCAATCAGTGCGCCGAACGCGCTCGATATTATTATTTTACGAATGCGATAGCTATTCCTTCTTGGCACTCTGTAGTAGGAAGGCACTATTAAGGATTTACAGTTCTAATTAATATCCAGTAATACTCTGGTTTTCCAAAATTCTCAGTAGGTAATTTTTTTTTGTTTGCTAAGTACATTTATGGTAATCCGTGGCAACGTCGTGAGGAGTGTATTTGTTAAATCTATTATTTTACTCACCTGTGTTATATTTAATATACTGCTGTTTGTTGTCCTTGATAAATAAATAAAAAAAATAACAATAAATTTTCGATAAATCTATATGTATAAAAATGAAACCCGTTTCCCGTTGTCACGCTATAACTTGAGAACGGCTAGACCGATTTGGCTGATTTTCTTTGTTGTGTTTGTTATTGTCAGGAGAAAGTTCTTATGATAGAAAAAAAATCCTGTAAGTCTTATGGGAACTGGAGAATACAGAATCGCGCGTACGAAGTTGCGTAGAAATGAACTATATCTGAAAACTGTACAATTGTGAAGTTGATAAATGTATTGATTTTGTCTAACTGCAATTTATTTTGTTCATAAACTAATTATAATCGTCAGTTATACTCAATGAACTAATTAAACATAGACTACCTATATCTGTTTGAGTGTAGTTCGATTCGTTTCAAGCCACATCACTTAGTTGCTTGACGTCAGTTTTATGAGCTCCGGTGACGGCTCGAAACTAATCGTGGACTCTCGAACAGTTACGTAAGTTATATTTAACTCTTTTATTATATAATTACATTGTACAAAATGCTAAAATTTGTATATAAATGATGTAAATAGCGATGTATAAAGGTGTTTGTTGAGTGATAATAAATGTACTCATGTGAGCGTGAATCTTGTTTTTTTTTTATTACTTCCTCCTTACTCAGGTACCTTACTCTTGTATTTAGCCGTGTGCAAAGCTACCGAAAGCCAGATTCTACTGTCTTCCCCAATCCTAGCAACACACACTTAGTCTTCTGGTGTTACGGGTGTCTGTCTCCATGGGCAGCGTTGATTGCTTACCATCATGTTACATAGCAACAGTCCATGGATTCCACAGATTGGCAAATTATTTGAAATACATATTAATATTGCATCAGTCGTGCAGCGATGGCGAAATTGCTGCATCAGCAACCTGACGGACCGGATGACGGCATCATTTTCTAGAATACACGGCACTTTTGTTTTCAACTTCGACCAAGAGCCACTTAATCCTGTAGGCCTGTATTTCAGTCTAATAAGCTGTTAACTGTCCCGTCCATTTATATTTATGAAATTGCTAAATTCATAAGAACCAATCCTTCGCTTTTTCAAGTTAAAGATAATGTAAATACATAAGAGAAAAGCAACATGCGTACTTCTTCAAGTGCCTTCACCTAGATTGGAGTTATTTAGACGGAATTGTGTTTATATGGCTCCTCTAATTTATAATACGTTGCCTAAATCTATAACTGAACTTCCGTATAAGAAATTTTGTAATGTATTAAAGCAATGGCTAATTAAAGAAAATTACTACTCAATCCACGAATTTTTAGAAAAAACAAATGTAAATCTTTTAGTTTTAAAGAAAGAAATAAATAAGAGCAGTAAGTGTACTTAGTTTATGAACCAAAATTGTAGCCTTCATGTATTTTATTTTAATCTACAGTAAAGATTAAATGTACCCAATTTGCATGCCAATAATGGTAAATGTGCTGATCTAAATATATTGTATGTAACATCTATATCATGTACCACATTGAGCAAATAAAGAATTATTATTATTATTAATTTAGAAATATGTAATACTTTTCTGTAATTTTATTCAATAGCAATCAATTTCGTCCATATTTGCAACTTGCCTGCCGGAAAGACATAATTATCAGGTGATCTGTTTGCTCGTTTACCGACCTTTGCTATAAAAACCTGTTTATTCAGGATTTAAGAAAAGTGCGTGTTCCTTTTTAAGGCCGGCAACGCACCTGTGACGCTTCTGGTGTTGTGGGTGTCCATGGGCGGCGCTGATCGTTCACCATCAGGTGATCCGTCTACTCGTTTGGAGGCAAACGAGTAGACGTATTTCATAAAAATTTGCCAAAACTGGTTACAATGGCAAAATAATGGTGTTACATTATATATAATTGCAGCTCTGTCTAACGGAGATTAAATGCTACGAGGTTAAGATCAAATGAAACAAGTAAATAAACTCAGTAATAACTATATTTACATATAAACATAACATAAGGCAAATCTAATTTAACAGGAAACATTTTTTCTATAATAGTCGTATAACAATATTTGTCTGTAATGTCAAAAAAACAACACGTTCTTCTGTAGAATAATTATTTTATTTGTATGCTTTAATTAATATTAAATTTATTATCCCTGTTGAGCGGCGTACCGTCGTCCGTGAATCACTGCAGGGTCAATCATCTGAAAATCAGCGTTGGGCATGTACGGTCAACTTAATGCTGAGATGGAGGCCCTTTTGGCAAGGGCACGCGCCCTTATATGTTATTTATTTATATCTTGTTTTATTAATTTTTTACCCGACTGCCAAAGAAGGAGGGTAATGTTTTTCGAGTGTATGTAAGTATGTATGTATGTCTTTTCCTTTGTGACCACCTGTAGCCTAAACGGCTTGATGGATTTTGATGTATGAGGTATCGTTAGATTTGTCTTGATTACGGGAGTGTCATAGGATACATTTTATCCTAAAAGTCCCACGGGATAAAGACATAATAATATTTTTTCTAAATTTCCCTTTAAAAAAATATGTATGCGGTATCATTAGATTCATTTCAATCACGGGAGTAATTAATATAGGATACGTTTTTTCTCAAAATTCCCACGGGAACATGTTAATTCTGCGTCAACGCAAAGCAACTCATGCGTTAGCAAGCAAAAAGATAGGGCGTGGCCTGGCATGCGGCGCGCGGCGCGGTGCGGAGGGGGATATGCTCGAGTATACAGCCCGATTGCGGGCACACGCATGAGGGCACACGTCGTTGACGATAGTCTTCTACATCTACAACATTTTCGTTAAATAAAAACAGCTAAAAAGTTTAAATAAAAAAATATTATTAAAAAAACAAAATACCCGACTGCACACTAAAAAAAGAGTAAAACAAGCCCCACAATAATATTGATCAATCAAATGCTAAAAACTAATTATGTAATACCGTTTAAACAATACCTATATTAAAATACACTACAATATGTGTTCGTAATCGATAGTTAAATAAACAGAAACTTATTTGAATACAAATTTACTGAATAAATTTATAAATGTTGATGGAAAGCATCGCAGGCGGGGACCACCTTGACCGCCACCAACGAAAATTCTGCTAAATGGTGCACAACCGAAATGACTATAAATAAGCCTCTGTTGGTCCCCGCCTGCGATGCTTTCCATCAACATTTATAAATTATATTCAGTAAATTTGTATTCAAAATAAGTTTCTGTTTATTTAACTATCGATTACGAACACATATTGTAGTGTATTTTAATATAGGTATTGTTTAAACGGTATTACATAATTAGTTTTTAGCATTTGATTGATCAATATTATTGTGGGGCTTGTTTTACTCTTTTTTTAGTGTGCAGTCGGGTATTTTGTTTTTTATTACTGTATTATTATTGTATTGTCACTGTTTTGTTATACTCTGTCGTTTCTTTTTGCTTTCATTATTGTTCTGTGTTATCTATGTATCTGTATTTATTTCATCTTTTTTTTAAAATTTGTATTTTTTTGTATCTGTTGCGTGCCTACTGTCTTAAATAAATGCTTTTTATTTTCTTTCTTCTAAGACAAAAATACCACGCAGTACGCACCCACGACACGAGAGAAAATTAAAGTGTGGGGCAACGCTTTTTTTTTTAAAAAGTAGTAGTTAATCTGTTCATATTTTGCAACTTGAGTAACGTAGCCGGAGTTACGGAATACCTAGCTGGTTGCCGGGGCTCCGGCTCGAAGCAGAAGCACAGAATACAGGAGAAGGAACGGGGTGGTTTTTAGTCAGTAAGGGTCTGACACTCCCTCCCGGCTCACCCAAGACGGGAAGTCATGGGATGTTGTTCCCGACAAAAAAGAAGGTACAGTTCACAAGTAGGTATGTATGTGTTAATTAAAACAGGTGCTCTTTCTGTATGCCTCGTTTGACGAGTGGTCACAAGTGCGTGCCGGGCAAGGGGTCTCGGGTTCGATTCCCGGGTCAGGCAAAGTATTAGTAGGTGTTTTTTTTAAAATTCTCAGTAGTAGCACGGAGTCTGGAATTTTGCCCGGTATATGACAATAGGCTTAGCCCCTATTACATAAATAGTGAAAAGTGGGGGTTACATTGTACAGTGGCATTTAAGTGCAGTAATGTGCACCTCTACTTAGCCCTTCGGGGATAAAAGGCGTGATGTTATGTTATGCTCTTTCTGTTCCGTCACCTACATGATGTAATGGGACTAGCATCTAATCGGAAAGAAATCAGCTATACATGCGCATCGAAGTATCAGGGTGGGTTAATCTACTATATAAAAATAAGTCGGGTTTTCCTTCCTGACGCTATAACTCCAGAACGCACGAACCGATTTCCACGGTTTTGCATTCGTTGGAAAGGTCTCGGGCTCCGTGAGGTTTATAGCAAAGAAAATTCACTTTTAATTACCAAACGTAACGTTACTTAAAACGAAGCCATCCGGTGAAACGCAGTTCGCCGGGTTTGCTAGTGTTTAATATAAAACTAGCATTATCAAAATGAAATAAAAAACATTTTTATTCAAGTAAAAATAAAGGTTTTTAATCGGGATTTTTGTTTGTTATTTTGTTTCTATATTTGAATAAAATGGACTAATGGAAATGAAATAGATTGTGTGAAAAGTTATAGGAAACAAAAATTATAATGTAAGTAAATGACTTTATAGTGAATGGAATTGAAGAAATAGTATGCTGAGCTGAAGTAACCTTGGACCGCGGAAACAAGAAAGGATGACTGGGTTTTTGTGTGGATACATAATTAAGTAGGGCAAATTCATTTATTTATGGTTATTCTGCTATTCGGGACGGAGACAAACAAAACAAAGATCATGAATATTTCACTAACTAATTTTTAACTATAGAGTTTCTTTCTACAGCCACATGAGCTAAAAGCAGTCTTATAACTTTTACCTACTAAGAATGGACCTCAATGCCAAGAGGCCCCTTCGGTCCCTCCATGATGCACTCTCATGTGTAGTTTCCAACTAGTTACCTGAACGAATGCCCTCCCGCACTCCTTGCACATATACCTCCGATCATTAGTATGTATCCTTTTATGAACCTCCAAAGTTTTCTTCCTCTGAAAAGTCTTTTTGCAATATTCGCACTCAAAAGGCCTTGTATCATTATGACGTACCATGTGACGCCTTAAAAGATCGTTATTAAAAACTTTAAAACCACAGATCTCACAAGCTACGGTTTTTTGTTTTAAATGCGTTCGTAACTTGTGTTGAACTAGCCGACTTTTCATTGTGAACACTCTGTTGCATTCATCACAGTTAAATTGTAGTTTTTTGTCGTCATGTTCTAAAGCTAAATGTCGCTTTTTTAAATATTTCGAGGCTAATATCTCTGGACATTTTGGGCACTTCAACATTTCAGTTTTATGCGTTTTCTCAAAGTGTATTTGTAGGGCATAATTGTTACGGAATACTTTATCACATTTTGTACATTGACCGCTAGAAAATGAGTGAACATTTCTTATATGACTGTCTACATTTGCTTTAGCTACGAATCCTTGTCCACAAATTTCGCATAAGTACGTTTTGTATCTATTATGGTATTTATGAGCATGTTTCAATAGAGGGCCGAAAAACCTAAATTCTTGTCCGCAGTCATGGCAAGACATGCCATCATCAGACAAGTTAAAAGTAAATAGACAATCCGTTAGTTCTTTTTTAAATTTCAGTTCGTGTAACAGAGAGAGATGGTCGAGAAATTCATCAAAAGAAAGGAACTGGCGGTTACATCGTTTGCAAATTATCTCTGACGTATCTAATTTTACACGACTTCGACTGACTAAAGTTCTTAATAAGTTACGTAATTTTGCGTCTTTATGTTCTTCGATGGTGTGTTGTTTTAGTTTAGAACTGTCGATGAAGGAACAGCAGCAGAAATAACACATGTATTTGTTCGCTGACCACCTAAAAGGGAGGATGGTCGAATTTTCTAGTATCACTGTAATGAGTCGCGTGAGATCGTCCTTGCGTTGTTTTTCTATCAACTTCTCCTCGGTGTCTTGGTTTTCTGTAACAATCGGTTTAGTTATTTAGATTTTTATTGAGTTAGTAAGTTTTAACGATTACGGAGCCGCGGAGGACTTTGCGGGTGCCGGGGCTCCGGATCGAAGTGCAGGAGTAGGAACAGAGTGGTTTTTAGTCTGTAAAAGTCTGACACTCGCTCTCGCCTCACCCGAGTGGGAGAAGTCATTAGATAGTTTCCTCCCCCGCCCCCTCAAAAAGTTTTAAGTGATTAGTTGGTTTTTATTTACTTACCTACGTAACGAATATGTACCTAATAATACTTACGTTTTGAACCTAAGATCAGGGAGTTCAAGAGTCTATTACGGATTAATGAATAGAAATTTTGTGACTATGAAAATTCTGTCTAGTAACCTCTCGAGAGCAGACCATTTCTTTTTCAAGTTGACCTTAGTGGCACTTAGGGAGTTCATTTAACCTTCTTTTTTGATAGTGAATTAGACATTAATAGGGTGGCTATTACTGTCTAATTCACTATCAAAAATAGTGCTTAATGACTAGTAAGAAAAAATAAAACCAATATTAATAGATACTTTTCTTTATTTTGATCCTTATTCTATATTCCTTAAATTCTAAATTACAATACTAAGACAAGATACATTAATCAAACTTAAACATATATTTTGACGAAACGTGAGTATCTTCTTTAAGTATTAACGGTGACTTCCTAAGCGGTTTGTTTCGCCTGATGCGGTTGCTCTACTAGTATTTAACGTTTATGAATCTTTCACAGTTTTCCAGAATAAGTACTGTGGGTACCAAGTCACCATTTTTAAATATAAGTAAGTTGTATGTACTGAGTTTAAGCAATAGACCTTCCGAAAGAATGTTCCATTATCTAAACCATTGGGTTGCCATGTTTTTATAATAACTATCGTGAGGAACATGACTCATCAGGAAGAGTTCCACTGCGACTCGAAACTAGCAGAGATTTTCTCAGTATATTTACATGAGTAACTTGTAATTCTTAGTTAATTTACTGTGTAGCCAATATACATAATACACTTTTAACTTTGACAGATTGTGCCTGCATCGTAAATATACTCTATGAGCATATTTTTTTAGCTCCTTTATGGGACAAGCCCGCCACAACCTCCCAAAACCGCTGCAACTCCTGTAAGCCAGGATCTACAGTAGATACAACCATGAAAACACAGGAACACTGAAGTCCGGCGCGTCTCAGGGACATTAATAACTGTCTTGGTTCCCGCAACGAAGTGAATCAGAAGATATTATAAGAGAAGAATAAAACGATAGTTTCCACTTCCCTCGGTGAATTACTGCAGGAGACAGAGTGAATTAAGCCTAAAGGCACAAAGGAAAGAGACTGTACAACTGGGGGAAGCCCAGTCGCCAAGCACCATGGACCACCACCACTTTTCTCCTATTGTTTATCATAGAGGATGTCAAAACCTTTTGTTATTGGTAATGGGCGGGCATTGGCCCCTGCCACTAACTCCACCGGTGGAATGGCCTGTCCATAAGCAACCTATAACTCAAAGTCGAAACCTAACTCTTAATTGCCTTTTGCTTGTCCCAAGGAATTATATTAATTTTGCCTTTACTATGTTTATCCATATGAGCTACAAAATTCTTATTTTTATGAAATTTTCGATAGCAAATATTACACTGATATATCTCACGATCGTGTGTAGCCAAATGACGTCTTAAGGCGTTTAAATCATAACCTTTAAATCCACAAATGTGGCATGTTGTAAATTTTTCTTTTAAATGAGTCCCGGAAACATGTTTCATCAAAATGCTTCTCGTTGTAAAAATTTTCGAACATATTTCGCAAGGATACTGCATACTTTTGATATTATGTACGATAGCTATATGGTTCTTCCTAGAATACCTACTTTCGAACGTCTCAGAGCAAATTTCACAAGCGAATTTCCCTGTTCTATGCTCTTGTCTAATATGGACCGTCAAATTGATCTTCGATGGAAAATTTTCGCCACAAATCTTACAAGAAGTAGGCATTGATGAATGTTTATTTGTTAAATGGTGTTTAATCGTCCCTTTTAATGCGAAAGCTAGTCCGCAATGATCGCAAATGTACTTTTTAGATTTATTATGATATTTATTTACGTGCCTCAATAATGGCGCGAAAAATTTGAATTTTTCGTCGCATTCCAAACACGACATGGTGTCGTCGGCCAGATTAAAAAAGTAACTTATTTTGTAGAATACTTCTGTATCCAAATCTACATCGTGGCAGCTGTTTATATGGTTTATGTAATCATTGTGATTCGACATCGGTTTCGGGCACAATTTGCACGATATTTCTGATACATCCCATTTTATACGAGTTGTCGTTCCTATTTTTAACAAATTTAATTTAATATCAATGTGATTTTTACTGTGTTGTTTTAATTCTGAACTATGGACAAAAGTGTGATCGCAATAGAAACAGCGGTAGCGGTTTAAATACCATTTGAAGGGCATAATAGTAGAATATTCCAGAATAATGGAGATTAATCTTCGAAGATTTGATAGCGGGGACGGCCCGATAACGTCTGAAACGAAAAAGAAAAATTCAATTCAGACTTTGCTTTCGCATTAAAATGGCTTTGTGATTATTTTTATATTCGACTGTGTCTAAAATTACTTTTTATCATGTCCTTTTTAGAAAAAAAAAATCTGTCAATTACGTATCATGTACTAATAGAGTAAATTATCAATGGTTATACCTACGAGTTAAATTGTGTACCTATTTGTAACTATAGTGTCATATTTTATACTCTACTGTATCTATTACAATACATGCTAATATTAAACACGAAAGCATGCTTCAATTGACCACTTGTCACTTAGTAGCATGTCAGTCGGAATGTTGTTCCGAATTAGTATGCTAATTTTGGGCATGCTTGCATCGACAGGCGTTCGATTTATTGAATACTACTTTAGCGCGGTTTTAACCGCTCTGTTCGGCGCCTATTGTCCGTATCGTGATGTTTAATAGCCTATAGCCTACCTCGATAAATTGGCTATCCAACACAAAAATAATTATTCAAATCAGACTTGTAGTTACGGAGATTAGCGCGTTCAAACAAACAAACTGTTGAGCTTTATATAACAGTATAACATTTTTGGGCATGGTTAACAAAGTCTTTTAGCATGCTATTTTAGAACATGTGTAACAGTAGATACCATTATTGACTTCTTTAGACAAGTATAACCGTCAGAAACATTATACTCAGACATAGCCGGCATCACATTTTATTCAGAAACTTCTAGATTTATAGAATCAAAGTCATTAACACTATCATCTTTATGCAAACGTTTGTGGCTCAAAAGATTCTTTCTCCTTCGAAAACTTTTCTCACAAATCTCGCAAGTGAACGGCCGAGCGTCATTATGGCGCACCATGTGTCGCTTCAAGCTATCAAGATTAAAAGCCTTGTATCCACACACTTCACATGTACAGTTTTTTTCTTTAAAATGGACTCTCGATTTGTGCTGAACAAACTTACTATTTCGCGTGAAAATCTTAGAACAATACTCACAAACGAACTGCTCATTCTTACAATCGTGAACAAGAGCCATATGACGCTTTTTCAGGTATCTGTTAACAAATATTTCGGGACACAAATGACATTTTAACTTATCTATTTGATGGACATTCTCTATGTGTTTCGTTAACGCGTATTGTGTTCCAAATGTCTCTTTACATTGCTTGCAATATTTAATACCGTGTGTCTTTTTAACATGGTTATGTATATTGTGTTTCCCTACGTATCCTTGCCCACAAATATCGCATAAAAAATGTTCTATATGATATTTATAAGTATGCAAAAGAAGTGGCCCAAAAAATTGAAAAAATTGCCCGCATTCGAGACAGTACATTCCATTATCTTCGATTTGAAAACAACTGAAGGACTGAACAGCTTCTTTATCTAACTCTAGCTCATGAATCTCAGAGATATGATTTAAATATTGTTGGAAATTTCGAAAATTGTATTCGCACGGAATACACCATAGATTTGATACATCTAATTTGGTCCTACCGCCTCTATAAAGTGTTCTAGTCAGTATTTCTTCGATTTCAATTTCTGTGTGGATGGTATTTGTATGGTCTTTTAGCTTTGAGCTGTCTACGAAAACAGAGTGGCAGTAGAAGCACATGTATTTGCCGCTATGCCACCTAAAGGGTACTATGGTGGAGTTTTGAATGATGATCGACAGTAAACTTGTGAGCTGATCTTTGCGTTTCTCCTCCACAGACTTTTCTGAAACCAAAGATTAATCCTGTTAGATCCTCTTTGGTTAATTTCGGAAAACTATTTTATTAGTTAATAGTGCTTAATATTATCTGAAGAGTAAGAGTGTTTCCATTTATCACGTAAAAACACATTACCGCCATTTTTGTCGAGTTTCGTTTCTTGGAATATATCGATTGGTCCTAAGATAGCACCTTACTAGTACCTACTCACCAAAAACTAAATTATATTTATACAGTTGCCGACCATGTAGATAATTGTTTGATTGCGCCATCAGAATAAAGGATCTTTTTAGGGAGTTAGCTTTTAAAATAAAATTCAGATTTTCTTACATAGCCTGTAATTTAAATATTGTTTAAAGAAACTTATTACCTACAATACAATATTCTATTTAGAAATAAGTGTCTTTCAACAAGATCTGAGAACCTATGACTAAAATAATGAATCAGTGACCAAATTACCTTACTTCAAACAGTTGAGTATTTTTAACAGTAAATACTAAATTTTTATTTACCGAACACAGTTACAGCAAATTATATAAATACATTTCTAATTCTATAAATGCCACAACCGAACACTACCGTGAGATTTAAACACACATCAAAATCATAGAGGTTAAACTTGTCCCACATACGGATTCTCATACTGCATTAAAGGTTGCGGATTTTTATGCATCCTCGCGAAATGTGCCCTCATTATCTTCTTCGTTGTAAATGCTTTGTCACAAGCCTCGCATTTAAAATTCTTCTCCCCGCTATGTTTG